AAAATGATCCGAGGGCTGGAGCACCTCTCCTATGAGGCCAGGCCGAGGGAGTTGGGGTTGTTCAGCCTGGAGAAGAGAAGGCTGTGGGGAGACCTTATTGTGGCCTTTCAGTACTTAAAGGGGGCCTATAGGAAGGATGGGGGCAATCTTTTTAGCAAGGCCTGTTGTGACAGCACAAGGAGTAATGGTTTTAAACTAAAGGAGGGTAGATTTCGACTGGATATAAGGAAGAAATTTTTTACAATGAGGGTAGTGAAGCACTGGAACAGGTTGCCCAGAGAGGTAGTGGAGGCCCCATCCCTGGCAACATTCAAGGTCAGGTTGGGTGGGGCTCTGAGCAACCTGGTCTAGTTAAAGCTGTCCCTGCTCCCTGCAGGGGGGTTGGGCTAGATGATCTCTAAAGGTCCCTTCCAACCCAAAACGTTCTATGATTCTATGACACTTTTGAGTCTATTTTAGCTTCAGAATAGTTCAGTTCCTCACAGAGATTACTGCTGTTCCCAGGCTGGTTATGAATACTACTCAAGAATCGTAAGTTTATGAGTTAGAGGATGTTTCTTTCCACTTGATGAACAGCTTTCAATTATTCAACAGTGTTAAGAGGCTCTTGCTAAACCGTAAATTAAAGGTTTTAATATAAACATAGATTTACCTGGACTGGGATCAATATTTGCCAGGAGCTCTAGGTGAGGTCGAAGACGATTCAGGTTAGCCGGATCTCCAGTCCTCTGAAGAGCAATAGTCAATTCCTGAACACTCTGTGCAAACGAGGCTGGGGTCTGCAACTTAAAAAAATTACAATAATTAACTTTCTACAGGCAAAGCAATCCTTGTGGTTTCTGAAGGTTGCTCCATAAGCTCACAAGAACTGTCTTGCAAAACTGGAGCAAAATGGTTTTTGCACAAGCCCATTTCAGCACCTTCTATTAAATTCCTTCTCCAGCATTAAGGACATGCTATTCTTTGACATTGCAGGTTAAAATACAGGTCTAAATAGACAAAGTGAAGGCTGGTATTATTTCTAGCAATGTAATCTACTTCTTTTCTGTGTTGCGCTGGCACCCAGAAAAAAAAAATATTATTAGAAACCATTTAATTTAGATTTCTGAAGAGTCTAGTATCTCCAATCCCTGAACCAAGAGGTTTGCACCCTGCTTTAAACTGAGTACAGCAGACAATAAAGAGCTAAACAGTTGAAGGGTAAAGATAGCTAGCAACGTTCCATTTACTAACATCACAATTTCAGTCTTTAAAATCCTTTAATTCTACCTAGGTCCTTCAGGAGATTTCTGGCACGACACCTGCAAAGGTGGGCAAACGCGTAAATACACAGCAGCTCAACCTTAAAGCTAATTCTTATACACAGCCAAAGCAATTGTTTCTCAGCTTTTGTAACCATTCAACAATCCCACCTAATTTAGGCACTTACATGCGAGTCCCCTAATTTAAAAGCCCATTTATCTTATGTTCCCTCTGAACAAAAAGAGATCTGGGCATTTCCAGAGGCCAAGTCATTTTATTTAAGAAATGTGCTTCCACCTCTCTTTCTTACTTCAGGTATAGACTAGGGGACTGATTTTCGTTCAACTTATGCACTAGCTTCCTGCCTGGAAACAAAAACCATTAAACTCTTTTACTACATTGGCAGTTATAAGCTGTTCAGAAAGGACATATCCCAACTGTGCAGCTAACCCTTTGTGGCTTCCCATCTGCAGAAAGAGATGGCAGGATGGCAGAGGGAGTGAGATTCTTTAGGTTACAAATATATACTCTAATTATTTAGGCCATAACAGGTTTTGAAATAACAGGGCAAATTATTAATGGGCGAGTACAAATGGGTGCAATTTGTAAATTCATGTTACAAGCATTTAAATCTACTACAGTTGCAAACAAGATAGACTAGGCTGATTTTAGGTGGCTTTACCTTGTCAATGATAGACTGCATGTGGGATTTGTGAGACTGGTCTCCGTATAACAGTGAGGACCACTGATCTGGTGCAATGCGTAAACCTGCTTCCATAGCAATTTGAACTATCTGGGAATCATGTTCCCTTCTCAGAGCCTCATAAGTGCGAAATTCCTCCTTCAGTTGCATCAGGGAGGAATCCTCATCTCGCTTTGTCACCTAGTGGGGAGAAATGAGCCAAACACAATTAAGCAGGATAAGCAGAGATTATGTAAATTCCAAGGCAAGTGAAATCTTCAGTCAGCAACTAAGTCCCTCCTCCCAAACTAAACTGAACTATGATACTATGCAGTGACCAGTAGTTCCTACGAAAAATAAACACACTCTCCATAGTGGTTCCAGTTTATGAAATTAATACCAAATGTAATTTACTCATCCCCTGACCCAGATATTGGTGGAAGTGGCACACTTCCTGAACAACTTTATAGCATCCACACCTTACTTCTCCAATCAAGGCATTTTGTTTGTATTGCAGAATTTTGTTTGAGGGTACAATTAGCAGCAACAAAGCATTTTTCTCCTAATTTAGCAAAAGTGAACAACATTTAAGCTAAGCACATAGGAATGGATCATTAAATACGGTAAAGTACAGTAAGCAGCTTAAGTTCTTTTTATACAACTTTGGTATCCAAGACCCTCATATTGCCTTGTTTCTAACCAAAACACCACTCAATTAACAGAACTGGGAATTTTCCAGCTTTAAGACTCTTCTAAGGAGATAAGTTATGCTGACTTACATACAGGTTTTGTTACTGTGCATCTATTAAACCTAGGCAGAGTCAAAACGTAGCTTTACAGCTTAAAGTGGCAATTTCAGTCTACATTGACATCATAGCTGTACGACAAAGATGTCTCTAAACACACTTGGGATTTAATGAGTAATACTTTCTATAACTACACGTAATTTTAGGCACATTTAATGTTACAGGACAATGAAAATTGAAAGTGAAAAACACTAGTTTTCATAGCATTATGAAGTCTCCAAGAAGAACCTTCTTCATACCTTGAAGCACGAAGCTCTGTAAAGAAGCTGGACAACATGCCCAATGCTAGTTTTAGAAGCCTGAGGAAATCGCGGCTCCAGCCTCTGAACCACAAACAGAACCAAGACCTTTCTTGACAAAGCAGATCCATCTTCCAGAGCCAGCAGAACCAGCTTTAAAGCCTCCTCTTGCATTGCTGGGGGGGAGGGGGGAAACGCAAAGAAGAGACAAGATGAGACAAGACCAAGAAAAATTTCTG